ACTTCTAAAACCTTTTTATGAAATATACAAAAGAATCGTGTTTAAAGATAATATGCAAACTATCTATCCGTCCGTTCTCACTAAATCAGAGGTGATAAAAGAATCAGAAACATTACATGAATAATACATTATGGTTCCCGGAGACAAGACTTGTAAAGTTATAGTCATTGTCTGTAAGGCTCATTATTAGTCACCTACCAGTGAAACCGGAGGGGACTATAGGTTTCCTCTGAGTCTGTTCGTCCGTTTGTCTAGCTGTCTGTCTGTCCGTCTAGTTGTCCCTCTGTCTGTCTGTCTGTCCCACTTGGTTTTCCACAATATTTTTCCAAACGCTTGCAGATATTGAGCTGATTTTTGGTATGTGAGTGTATCTTGAGGAGATACAAGTCAAGTTTGCATTTCGTTCTGCTTTAATGATTTTTGACGAAATTAAGACATTTTAAATTTTTCAGGTTTTTTTTTTTGTTACGGTAAAAAAAAAAAATAGAATTATAAATTAAAATGCCCGTGGACCAAAATGCTAGTCTGAGGCATATGTAAAATGAGGATACAAAGATGATCAATCTGATAAAAATCAGATCCTTTGATCCGCTCACATAGATCGCTACACAAGGATCTGAAGATCCCCCATTCAGGTTCATCTCCTGGTGACCTTTCTAATAAAAATATTCATTAAAATTTGGACCAATCAGAGAGATCGTACTTAAGCAACATTCGGGAAAATGAATGTAGAAGTGAAAGTACTGTGGAGAAGATCTTATCGTTTCGTACAAAACAAAGAGCTTAAAAAACAACGCAAATGCAGATACTAAATAATTTCTGTACAAAAAAGACTGTGGTCGTTCTTTTGACAGGCTACGGAAACCAGCTCACGATTTTCCGGTTGTGTAACACCGGGGCTTTTACTTCTGTTACTGAATTCCCAGATACTTCCAAATTCTCTGAAGCAAACGTTTGATTGGATAATTGAAAGGTCACCAGGTGATGACCCTGGAAGAGTTTCTTCAGATCCTTATGTAGCTGTCTATGTGAGCGGATCAAAGGATCTGATTTTAATCAGGTTGCAAATCTTTCGAATAAAATGATCGGTCTTTTTTGATGGATTGACAACATTAATCCACTTTTATGTACAGTATGTGAAAATGCTTCCATTGTGATTTGACAAATGAAATTGTTACTCGAAAGTTTCTCTTATATATTCCAGAGAGAGAGAGAGAGAGAGAGAGATTTATAATACCAGAATATATTAAATAATATATAGCAAAAGTATCTTACAACTTGAATAAGTTTGGGTACTTTTGTTACATTTCATGAAAACCCAACGAACGATCATTAATTAACTATCCATTATAAATAGCAAACAAATAGCAAGCAAAAAGGGGATTTAGTAATTTGAACCTAAACTGCAAATTTGGGTTGAAATACCTCGAAAAAAAAAGAAATGATAATTTTGTTTAGAAGAAAACCAGTGAATCATCAATTGAACATGAATGAAGCAAAAATAGAGCGTATTTCTGTGGGTTAGCAACTTGGAGTTTCAAAAAATGAACATCTGAAATGGGAAGCACATATGAATAATATAATAGTAATTGCCTCAAAGCGTTGATTCTATATCTACGCCAGCTAAAACCTCTGCATTAAGCGAGAGAGGCTTCTTCGAGTTGAGAAAACTCTTATACATGTAACACCTACTCTATCAGATCAAATTAAATCCATCCAAAAGGTCCTCTCAAAATCATACACCCATTAGATTGATTGATTGATTGTATGTTGTTTTACGTCCCATTCGAGAATTTTTCACTCATATAGAGACGTCACCATATACCGATGAAGGGCTTCAAATTTTGACCTTTACTCGGCACTCAGGGCCATTGAGCAGTGAGGGATCTTTATCGTGCCAACGCCTGCCGTGACACGGGGCCTCGGTTTTTAAGGTCTCATCCGAAAGACCCGCAACTTTCACTTCAAAGTGCCGAGCGCATGGCGAAGGAACAGTTGCTACCTATTTTTTATCGACTTAGGTCTGTCGCGGCCGAGATTCGAACTCACGACCTCCCGATCACGAAGCGAGCGCTCTACCGACAGAGCTACCGTGAACGGTTACACCCATTAGATATCTTCCAAAAAACCTTGGAGATTGCCCTTCTAGACAGCGTATGTGATAGATGCAAAAATGTCGGAGAAAACTTTTTCAATCATGTGAAAGATCCATCCCAACGGCTCCACTGCCTTCTTTCAAATACTCTTGAAAATTTGCATGCTTTACGCGACTCCTTAAAATATCATTTACCAAAATTAAAAAAAAAAATACAAAAACAGTTTTTGTACCTGGACATACATAAACATATTCTGAAAGTTAGTCGACAGTCTTTAAATCACTACTTTTATACCCATTAGGGTAAAAATTTGTGTTTTACCTTATGCAAATCCATTTTTTTTTTATATCTATCGCGAAATATCTTAAAGTTTATTATGCAGGTAACAACATTGTCTTTGTTTGTAAGGCTCATTATATTAAATGTATTTTAGAGGAACATGCATTTTAATTCTACAAGTGTTAATCCAACTTATACTCATAGTTCCCTTTCTAAGGATGGAATTCTTCAAAATCATATGTCAATTTTGAATATTTTTAATATTCCAAAAAACCAAAATGAATTTCAATTACCATATTTATATTGGATTCCGAAACTTCATAAAAATCCTTAAAAACAAAGATACATAGCAGGTTCCAGTAAACGTTCAACCAAGCCTGTTTCTTTACTCCTCACAAAGATATTAACAGTAGTGAAGGAGAAACTTCAAGAGTACTGTGCAACAATATATTCGAGAAGTGGTGTAAATCAGATGTGGATATTTAAAAATTCCAAAGGACTTTTGGAAAATTTGAAATTGCAAGAATTTACCAAACTCAACAGCTTAAAAACTTACAACTTTTCAACTTTATACACAACCATTCCCCATGATAAATTAAAGTCCAGGCTTTTTGATATCATTGACAGCTGCTTTTTCTATAAAAATGGAACTCGTAAATTTACTTACCTTGTCATTGTCCATTTGCAAAATTATTTTGTTAAAAACATTCTGATTGTACACACAAGTACTCTGAAGTTGACATTAAAAAGATGCTTGAGTTACTGACTGACAATATCTTTGTGGTTTTTGGAGACCAGGTCTTCCAACAATCTATTGGAATTTCCATGGGTACCAATTGCGCCCCGTTTTTGGCAGATCTTTTTTTGTATTCACATGAAGCAGAATTTGTCCAAAATCTTATAGTGAAAAGAAGAAAACACTTGCTGTGGCCTTCAACTCGACATTTAGGTATATCGAAGACGTATTGTCAATTAACAATTGTTATTTCCATTCTTATGTCGACACGATATATCCCTGTGAGCTTGATAAACGATACTACAGAGTCTGAAACATCTGTTTCATATTTGGATATTTTACTTGAAAGGGACGTTAATGGTAATCTAACAACTATTCTTTATGATAAACGTGATGACTTTAACTTTTCAATCGTCAACTTCCCTTACTTATGCAGCAATATACCTTCATCATCTGCATACGAGGTTTATACCTCTCAGTTGATTCGATACGCAAGAGCACGCTCTACGTATGTACAATTTCTAAAACGAGGTAAATTATTGACAAACAAGTTGATGACACAAGAATATCAGCAGTCTCGTTTAAAGTCATCATTTCGTAAGTTCTATGGTCGATACAATGACCTTGTCAGCAAATGCAGTTTATCATTGAGTCAAATGCTGACTGACGTTTTTCATACTAATTGTTAGGCCATTATTTACACACTTAATTGTCGACGGATTTTTTCGTTATTTCCCGATCATGACAAGGAGCACACGGCGGGTGTGACCGGTCGGCAGAGGATCCTCACTCCTCCATGGCACCTGATCCCACCTCTGATGTTTTGGAGGTCCGTGTTTGCTCTGCTCCTATTTTGTATTGTTTAATGGACTTTTGAGCTTGAATACTGTTCGTTATCTCCATATATTTCATTTAAAACCATTCATATATTCCCAATATTCTTAGTTTTGATGAATAATTCGTTACTGTACTTTCAACTTATAAGGTTACAAATGAAAAAAAAATCTATTCCTCAAGTAGAAAAAAGGACTGTTTCGTTGATTGCATTCATCTTAATGTATCGGAGAAGCCCGAGTGGAAATTATTGTGTTTTGACAAGTTAACGCCTTTTGTTTGGATGATTTATCTTCACTTTTTCTTAAATTTTATTTATTTCTTAGTATTTATTTTTATTTATTTATTTTTTATAAGGCACAATTAGACTTACCACATGCAATCTTTCATAAAGGGTGTTTGATAAAACATGACATATCTTCAAAGATCTACATCCTTCCTTTCAGAGAGACCAGAATGGATTCTTTGTATACAAAACAACAATATGAGATTGTTATCTAGGATGGGAAACATGTGAACATTAATGTAAACTTTTACAAACTAAATTTGTTAAAAACACACAAAGATGAAAACATGAAAGTGCTAAACGTGATTAAGATTATCATTAAAATTATGCTAAGTTAGACACGCATGTTGTGCTTGAAATTTCATTTAACAGTAATTCGTATGCCCATAACATATACATTAACTACCAAAATATTCACTATTATTAACAATATATAGTGCCTTCTCCGGACAGAAAGGTGACAGTTCTTTAAGGATCGAACGTTCTGTCTTATTTGAAGAAAACAAAACAAAACAAAACAAAATATCTTTGAATTGTACGATTTACTAAAAATAAATACATTTTGTGTTTTACGTGTTATTGTAAAGTTACTTTCAAGTCAGTACACCTTTGTATTAGGGTGAATGGTACTCTAACAGTTTTCAGGACATGTAAAGAAAGGTTATAAATAAATACATGAACAAAAAAAAATAATCAATACATTCATAATAGTTTTAAATGAAATTCTTGGAACTGTTTTTGTTTTCACTAAAATATATAAATATAAAAAAAACGTTACAAAAGCACACACACACTCTCTTTCAGATACATGTATCCTCTAAGGGTTCAAGTCGGAAGTACATATCGTTTTTGTGACTTCTTTCTTCAGCTATGTTTCTACTAACACTCCCAATATCGTCATAGTGATCGATGTCTCTTTCTTCGATGGTTTTCCCCATGGTCTCCTGATTACGTTCTATATAACCAATGTCTGCTGCCTTGGAATCATATCCATATGCTTTTAAATATGGAATATCCTAAATGATATAAAAAATTATTGGTAAAAATATTAAATTATTCCATTTACTTAATTCTTTAGTTTGTCGAACATATACATGTACATATATGTACATAAATATTCTATTGATATAAGTACTAGTCGAAAGAATTTAGGGGTAGTATTATATATACATTTATTTAGTGGGTTCGAGGGCAACATGCGTTTTAATTTGTCGGACCAAAGAACCAAACTGTTTGCCTGAGGCCGTTAGCCCGAAAGCAAACATTTTGGTTCGAGGTGTCAACAAAACGCATTTTGCCCGAGAACGCAGTCAATAAATGTTTTGTTATACCTTTTATTTATTTATTTTATCATAATTATTTTTTGACATACATGTATGTCGAACACCAACGAATGCAAATGAGATTTAGCTGACCCCCCCCCCCCCATTATGTGACGTAAGCGGTCCAACATGTCATCGACAGGTCCAATATCTCACTCTGCGGTCAAATATCGATTTTTTTTTTTATGCCCGCTCAGTAAAACATAAGAAATGTTAGGCTTTTTTAGCATTGATTTATATAGGAACAAATTTTCAAAGGTATAACAAAGTTATTAAAAAAAATCTTCAATGTTTGCTAATCCCTATTCCTTATTCAGTATTTGCTCATATTATTTTTTTTTTTCAAAATTGTATGTCAGACAGTGAAACTTATTTTATTGAAAGATATATGAAATGATATCATTTATGGAAGCACTTATTATGATTTTTTTTTCCTTATGTTGAATTCTAAATATAAAAAAAAGATACCATAAAACATTGCTTCAATTTAGTCACTGGCTGTATTTGTTGATGTAAAGGGGAAATAGCATGGATTGAAGCTTGATTCCCAACCGAGTCTGGATTAGCTCTATAATATATTCATAAAAATTAATTCAAATAAGCAACCGATCGCAGCTGACGTATGTAAAAATTCAAAGTAAATTCTCTTGATTTTTCTTAAGAATTTATTCAACAGAGAACTGGTAGGAGAATTTAACTGAACTCTAATTAAACTTACACTTTTCTTCTCTTTAGTTTAAGAAAGGACACTGTGACAATGATCCCAATAGTAAACCCAAGGAAAAACAGCAAAATACCAACAGGTATATCCATCCCTAAGTTATTTTTTGTTTCTAAAATGACATGGCTTGAATGCAATTACATTTATTGCAAAAGGGAGACATTAAGAAGATTCGACACAATATTTTACGTCTCTTTTTTTGTGAAGCTCCTCTGTAACAACGCATTTTGAAAAACTACGCACTTTGGAAAAAAAAATTTAAAAGTGCGTTAATTTTGGACCACGTTAACGCACTTTGAAAAAAAAATCCTTCAAAGTGCGTTAATATCGACCATATTAACGCACTTTGAAAAAAAAAAAATGTGCATTGCTTGGTCAATATTCTTGCAAGTTTTAGGTTTGATAAATAATTATTTGAACCTGGTTGGATAACTTTTCGGTGATGACATAAGGATCTGAGATATAGATGTTTTAAAGATTTTTAGGAGTTTTCTTGTTTCCAAAAGTTCTCGTAACTGTTATAAAAGGGAAATGGGTCTTTTAGAAATAATGGATAAATGATTGTTTAATAGCACAGTTTCGTTTCTTCTTATATATATATATATATATATATATATATATATATATATATATATATATATATATATATATATATATATATATATATATATATATATATATATATATTTATATATATATATATATATATATATATATATATATATATATATATATATATATATATATATATATATATATATATATATATATCTATATAATAAGTTTGCTAGATGTAGGTGTCGATAAGTGACTTAAAGCATCGCATTTTTTTTAGGAAAAGGGAGCAATCATGATTTTCCCGTACTTTGAAAATTCTCTCTTTCTCTCTCATCTATCTTTCTATCATATTCATCTATCTATCTATTGTAAACATATATGAAACAATGGTTGACTCATTTATTTGATAGTAAGAAAATAAACCTCACACTTAGCCATATTACTCACTCGACTGAAATTATTTTTACCTCGGTCAAAAAAGTTATGCAGTCAGGTTACTTCTAAATCTGTAATTTGATATCATAAAAACGCTAGACATGTCAAATAGCATGTTTTAATTACCATGTAAATGCCTTTTTTCTGAGGAATCATTGTGCATACATTTTGAATAAAGGTTATGCGGCTCTCTTCTTTAATATAATAGGGTCCATATTATTTTTTTTTTCAGGAAAGCTTGTCTCAATTTTTCATCTATTTTACGTTAACTCAAATTCATTGAGAGAAATAATATCAATGTCATACCAATAATGTAAATACATATATTTGTGTAGGAAAGATAGAGAGTTGTGCCGAGGGACTTTCTACCTGTTTTCTCCTCGTTCTCGATGAGGGTAGATCAATTCATCAGTTTTTTGGAAGAAATATAACAAATTAATGCTGTCTATTACTAAAATCTAAGTCCAGAATTTTTGTTTTATACGTATTTTTTTTCAAAGTGCGTTAAGTGTCTCCATCGTAAAAGAAATGTTGAAGTACTCTTAACGCACTTTGAAAAAAAAGTTCGTTGATTTTGTCCCAAATTTATCGCACTTTGAAAAAAAAAAAAATCAAAGTGCGTTGATTTTGTCACAATTTTAACGCACTTTGAAAATTTTTTTCAAAGTGCGTATTTTTTTCAAAGTGCGTTGCCACACTCCTCAGATATGTACATAAATTATTTTAAAAATCATGATGTTTTGGACGCGTTTGATTTTAACACATCCTTGTACTTTCATGAAGTAAACATTATCCTTACTAAAGTGGACATTTTTTGTGTGTGTATTAATGAAAACCATTGTCACTTTAATCCACAAAATTCAGAGTATAAATGTTGAGAAAATAATGATAGAAAACTCTACAAGTTGAAAAACATGCACCTACCATTAGGATTTATGTGCACTGATAATTCTGAAGAACCTAGGGTAAAAAATGTATATACATACGAGTATTAAAAAAAAAGTAAAGGTATCCATAAAATCTGCATTCAGATTATTTCAGTATGTTGTTTATTTATTTTTTTTTGTGTTTTGTTATCTTGTTTTTTTGTTTAAACAACTCTGATATTGCCATTAATTACCATTCCTGAATGACGACACTACATTAATTCTCGGACCTGGTGGCCCCCTTGGAACTGCAATAATAAAATTATGTTTTCTTTTAAATGTATATGTAGTGTATACTGTGTGACTGTCGTTATGAAGTTCATATATAATGAAAAATAAGAATGAAAATAGGTGCTTTTATGTTTGTGCAAAGCCTCTTTCATGTTCTGTCTTTCATAAAGTAAATATAAAAGACATCTCAATATGTGTCATATTTTTGGATCAAAATATGAGTTAAGAGTAAAGCGCATTCGATTACAAAATTACAAATTTCTGAAAAAAAAAAAAACTCAACATACTTATTTGTGAGGTTGAATCTTTATAAGTTTGAGATGGATTCGTCGTTTTCCCTTTCCAAATTCTTATGCAGTAATTCTTCAACTTCCAACAAAAGCTTAGTTTTATGAATCACCTTTTATGAAATAAAAAAAGACTTTAAGATATAATTCATGCGAATTCTTAATTGATGCAAAGATACTTGTTGATATCTGTACAATGTGATAAAGTTTATAAAAACGGTACTTTCTATATTGGTAAAAAGTAAATGGTCATCATCTAGAAATTATAAATCTAGTCGAAGAATAATTCATGCTCCTACCTTGGAAAAGATGGCTTTGCGTCACTTTCATTTATTACTTTAAGTTCTCATACATCCAAAGAATAATTTCTTTACACTATGATAACGAGCCAAGCATATTAAAAGCAAAACAATATGACTTATTGATGAATGCACTTGAATGCGTATCCTCTTAAAACAGTTCATAATTGTGTGACAGTAGAAAGCATTATTGTTATTGGTCATAAACTCAGAAAAAAAAGAACAACAGAATGTTAGAAGAATTTTATTAGAACATTATACAAGGACTAGATTTTTAAAGTTTCCTGTTTAAATTTCCTTCCTTATGTTACATTCTGAATATTAGTAAAAGAGAGACTAGTTTATGAAATGAATCGTACTTATGTTATGAATCTCTAAAACAGATTATTACTGACAGAACTGAAAACCCTAGTTTGCATTTATATTTCATGAAATGATTACTCTTTAATAGATATATCTACGTAACAATCATCTCTTTTAAAGTTTGTTTCATATTATGAAAAACTGGCACAGAGGATTCTTGAATTTCAGTAAAACCAAAAATGATTATCGCACTGAAATATGAAGACAAGAACAATCATGCAAACATTTTTGACCAAGATGTAAAGCTTTACAACATTCAGTGAAATATCCTTTTTGATTTTTGTTCCCGGAAGCCAGTGCATCTCTGCTTGGATCAAATTTTAAATTCGAACTACCTGTGGACTTTTGCTTATACTCAATATGAAGAGTTTTAAGATTTTATAGACTGTTTCTCTACATTTCTCTATAATACGTTGGACCCTTTTGAAGTTTCATTGATTCCAAAGAATATATTTTAATGTTCTGAGCACATTCGGTGACCCCATCATGTCACAATGGACTATAATTTGACAAGCTTAAATCTACATATAAGTGACAGGGTTATGGTTGCAGAGAAATTTGCAAATTGATGTCTTGTAGATTTTAAAAATTATTTTTGGTTTACATTTCGTATAACATGTCGACTATTTTTTGACTAGTTGAAGTTCTTGAAATGCATGAGATTTTCCTTTACATTTTCAAAGTAAAGATTTGAGCAATCTGTTTTTCCATCATTCCATTATGAACTATAATTTGACAAAACTTAATTCAACATGACATGATTATGATTCCAGAAAAAAAAATGCAATGTGACTCATTTTGGTTTTTGAGTTTTTTTTTACAGTTTGTATAACTTGTAATTGATTCTAGACTGAGGAACTTCTTTCACCTCGACCCATCTACAGGGTCAGGTATATGAACAACGACATTTAAGGACAGATGCTACAGACAAACTCCTTTTCTAAAAAATCTTGAAAGAAAACCACGTAATTTATGTCTAGAAAAATAAAAAAGAAGTTCAAAGCATTAGGTTTAATTTTTCATCTAACGCGTACGTTTCTCAATAAATTCCTATTTATTGATTAAATGAAATTGTATATTAATACATTCATAAGGGTGTTGATTTGATGCGATCACGATGATTTTTCCACGTTTGAGTCCCCGATTTCAATCGTGGCGCCAATCGTGATAGTGGGAACGTAGCATAAAAAATTAACCAGCATAGAGTGTTTGCAATTTCCACTTCTGCTGTTTTAGAGGTCTGCTATTGCTCTGCTCCAAATCTTTATTGTATCAATGGACATTTGAGCTTGATTACTGTTCACTTTCTTTATTTTTTATTTGTCCCTTTAATTCTTTTGTCTAATTTCAGAATCTCTATATTGTTGGAAATCGATTGAAACCCTTTGGGTATCCTGAAGCGCAATGTTTATGATAAAATAAATTCAAACAAAAGGTATCTTTGTCATGGATACCTAGTATTTATGCACGAAAATAAAAATCAATTACTTCTTTAATTCACTTCTTTATTATTAGTCAAAAAAGAAAATATAACCATTATATAACCATTAAAAAGCTAAAAGACAAAATAAATATTCAACTGTATTACTCATATAATATAAAAATTCTAAAATAAGCATAAAACATGTACCCTATCATTCCTATTCCCATCATTTGTAATATTTAAAGTGCGAATGATATATTGACAAATCATGTGTATCATTTTTCATTGTATTCTATACATTAAGTCAATAGCAACCTCCAAAATCTAACCCCCCCCCTCCCTACACACATTCATTTACTCACCCAAACTCCCGACAAAGTGTTTTCTCAATCATGATTTTGGTTGAGAAGATCTTAAGTATTTTTGCAAGATTTATTGGAGCGATAAACCATATAAAAGGTTATAAATAGTATTTCCCATTCCTTCAAAATACATAAAATTCGTTTTAATCTCTTCCAGATTGAAGAACAACATAATAGGCTGAACTGAGTGGATCATAGCGTTGGTAACTTAGGGTTTCATTTTTTTTATTATACGAGAGAGAGAGAGAGAGAGACAAAAAGAGAGACAGAGACAGAGAGAGAATCTGGATACTCATTGTTTTGATATACATAATTATACATGTTCAGAAATCTGTTTTCTAATTTTATTTGATCTTTTTATGACTTAAGTAGGGGAATAAATCTTTGCAATGGTATAAAAAGGGTGTCGGTTAAGTCTTCATATACATGTTTTGTACCCAGAATTACAGGAACTCGTAAACAAAGAAACTTTGAAGGATTATGATGATTTTTATATATTTGTATTTCAGCAAAAAAAAAAAAAATAAATAAATAAAAAATAAAAAAAAATAAAATAAAATAGAAAAATTAAATATATTCTTCTATAAAAGACGGAAGCAATGATTGACTTGACTGACTTCTTAAATATTTGGAGCCATTTAGATGGCTTTAAATCAGGGTCTAACTAGTTCTAAAGTAAATTCTACTCCCTTCTTCGGATGTACAACAATATAATACTGGTATATGGTTCTCATAGGAAATACAGACCCTGAAGTGCACTATTACCCCCACATGCACGCTGCACGAACAGTACACACTCCCTACACGGTTTGCACGAAATAAATTTATTAATATAAAATCATTACTTGCAATTTAATGACGTTATATGTACAGGAATTGTTTAAATTGGCAACATCGGACGATAGTGAGGTACCTGTGTACTAAGTTATCAATCAGTACTGCATTGGTCGGGATATGCTCCAGGGCGGAGAGATGGAAACAATAAAATGACACAGACAAGTGTCTCGGGCACTTGTTTGTTCCTGACACAAAAGATTCAATAATTATTAGACTAGTTATCCGATGGAAGAGGTACTTGGTAGACCCCCAAAAATGACAAACTAAAAAGTCAGGAACTTGCCGTCGTAGATGGAGATTGCCGTTTAACTATTCTAGAAGTTCATGATCGGGCTGGGAAGTTGTCTATTCAAAGAAAAGACTTAGCGATCTTAGCGATACCTAACAGTATGTCCAATATAATACTTTGCTTTTTACCAAAAAATCAAATGTAGTGTCAAATTTCTGCATCATAAAAAAAAATCTGAAATTTGAAAGAGGCATGATTCAAAAACAACTTTGTAAACGCCAGAAATTAAGTTTTGTCTTTGTTGGTTTTGCACCGACAATTATTATGTGGGATAGGTTTAACTGACAGAAACATCTTATTTATGGATATGTTTCGTTGAGATTTCTATATAATATTCAAAAAAATGGATAATGATGCATTTAACTTTTAAGTATAATTAAAACTGATAATATTGAAAATGTTTGCATTTTTCTGGGACAGCCCTCGTAGATGTAGGTTTTTCCTGATAATTTATAATTGTCGCATTTAGTCAATGTTAAATGTTTCCAATATAATGAATACTATTTTCAGTTTGACGAAATACACAGGCCTTTTACTAACACGTTGTTGCCTCAATGCACTTGGCATTTTACCCGTATATTTTTTTTTAAATGTACACGACTTAAAAGGAAGACGTAGTACATGTATAAATGAAATATTGTGCTGAAGACAGAGTCTGTCGGGTAGGTGGACTTATTTCTTACAAATAAACATAATCTGGATAAAATTTTACCAAATTTTAATATATCCTGAACATTTCTTTTAAATTATTACGCATCAATGTTGTAAAAATAAGCACTGATGCAAGACTTTGTATTTATGCATGACAAGAATAAAATCATGAAAGTCTACTCATAAACATGTAAGGATGTTTACATATATAACTGTTGAAACTTGATACTAGTATTTAATGACACGTTCTCAACAGATATTTTGGAAAATAATACTTTCCATCTTCCATCTTTATGTGTATATTTTTATGCTGCATAATAAAGCTTTATTATTTGTATATTTGAAATCGGCATAAGAAGTGAATGAGGTAATGTGGTTTTCTTTCTGCTTGTTATTTTATCGATAGACCAAATACAAGAAACGACGTTAATAAAATGTTTGACAAATGTTGGCTGGGATATCGATTTATTTCAGAATTTACCTTTACGTTAACTTTTTGCAAGTAGGAATTCGAAAATTTACTTCCGCATTTTTTTATTGCTTTTATGTCAATGCAAAGGCAGAATTAAAATCATTTTTATAATACCTATATGCATTTTATATTCTACAGTAAATGTTGAAAGTTACAATGTTATTATTCAGAGGGTCGGTAATGGGAAGTTGGTCTAAAAAAAAACAGAAAGAAGAAAAGCGAACAAGTAAACGGATAAAAGGAAATGACAACTTCAAAGACATTAAGATCAGGTAATAATTAACTTAAAGATAAAAAAAAATAATAATCATACATGTACAGCCAGGATGCATGTGGGTCAGTACAAATATAATATCAGATGATAAAATTTTATCTTTCAAAATGATAATTTGAAAATTACAAAT